TCTTCACTTAGGGCAGTTATGTTAGTTTAAGAGTTGTTGTAAAATGTGCTTTATAAATAATAATTAATTTCATTACAACATGTATTGGTAACAATCCTCTGTTAAAACTAATATCCAAATAACTGTATCTCACTTCTATTCTCAATGACTGTGTAGTGTAGGACAGCGCCGCGAGAATTCCATCGGCATCGAAAGCAAGTTTTTAGACTTGCCTAGATAGCCGAGCGGTCTAGCGCGCTGTTCCTGCACTGCTAGGAGACAGATTCCGAAGGTCGAGAGTTCAACCCCGGGCTGGGGCGGAAGTGGGTATCCATGTAAAAGTGAATTTCTTTGTGCTTTCTATATTAATATTTCTTCACTTAGGGCAGTTATGTTAGTTTAAGAGTTGTTGTAAAATGTGCTTTATAAATAATAATTAATTTCATTACAACATGTATTGGTAACAATCCTCTGTTAAAACTAATATCCAAATAACTGTATCTCACTTCTATTCTCAATGACTGTGTAGTGTAGGACAGCGCCGCGAGAATTCCATCGGCATCGAAAGCAAGTTTTTAGACTTGCCTAGATAGCCGAGCGGTCTAGCGCGCTGTTCCTGCACTGCTAGGAGACAGATTCCGAAGGTCGAGAGTTCAACCCCGGGCTGGGGCGGAAGTGGGTATCCATGTAAAAGTGAATTTCTTTGTGCTTTCTATATTAATATTTCTTCACTTAGGGCAGTTATGTTAGTTTAAGAGTTGTTGTAAAATGTGCTTATATATATATATATATATATATATATATATATATATATATATATGTAAATTGCGAATTGAAGGCCACAGCGAGTGTTGTCCTCTTTTGGACAAATTTTGCTTCATATGAATACAAAAATAGGTCTGCTAATATGGGAATTCCAATAGATTGTTAGAAAATCTTGTCTCCAAAAAACACACAAATATTGTCAATCAAAAACTCAAGTATCGTTTTAATATAAACTTCAGAATACTTGTGTCTACAATCAAAATGGTTTTTTAACAAAATAATTTTGCAAATGAACAATGATAAGGTGAGTATATTGACGAGTTCAATTTTTTATTTAACCCCCCCCCAGCTATCAATGATATATAAAAAACCCTGAACTTTAACTTCTCGTGGGGAATAGTTGTATATAAAGTTGAAAATTCGTAAGTTTTAATGTGTTGATTTTGATAAAAAATCTTATGTGACAAAGAATTTTTTCAAAAACATATTAATATTCCCAACAAGTAAATAAATTGAATTACCATAATGTATATACAAGCTTTCAGTTCTAGCAAGTCTCTTTCTTTACTACTCATCAAAGTATTGCCTGCTTCAAGAGTGCTGTAAAGCAATATGTTCAAGAAGTGGCATGAATCAAATGTGGGTACTTTAAAATTTCAAAGAACTCATCGAAAATTCGAAATAACATTTTACCAAAACCAGGAATAGGACCTACGATTTTACAATACTTATACAACTGTTTAGATATATCGACGACGTCTCACATATATCTAGTATAAACAATATCCATGATGATAATCATTTCTACATTGATTCGATGTACACCTTTGAACCCGAGGAAAAAAATTCACAGAATCTGAAACGTCTGTTTCATATTTGAAAATGTTACTACAAAAAGACGGTAATGGTAACAGAAAAATTTTCTATCATCAACTTTATCTATTTCTGTAGCAATATATACCATTTGCATCATGCATTAGAAATTTGTGTTTTCCAGTTGACTCGATACGCAAGAGAACGCTAGATACGAGGTGTGATCAAAAAGTTCGCGAACTAATTGAATAATTTCTGAAAAAGAAATGATATGGGGTTTCAGTGTTGAAAATAATTGAAAGTAGCCCTCTCCTGTTTTAATGCGCATCTGCAACCATTCTGCCCATGCGCGGATCACGTGATATAGGCGATCACGTGACCTGCTTTTTAGCGTTCTGTCACAAAAGCTTAAAATTGTTTCGGACTCTTATATTTCTTACCATGCAAGTTATATTTTGCAACAAAAACAGTCCATTTGTCAGAAATGTCCAAGTCACGGCCACAGAATGGGTGGATAATAATATCCTCTTCAAGAATGAACATGGTGACCATCAAAACCCAAGTCCTCTGTCTTTTGAGTGTCGTTTATTTCATGTGGATAAAGTATGGGTGCCTTCACTTTATCATATCTGATATGTTTAAAGTCTTAAGTAAACGATATTTTAGGGATTTGATAATTATATTTATTGTAAAGATATTCATCTATTTTTCTAACTGTAATTGGCGATCTTTCAAATCAAATTGCGTAACAAAGGACACGTCTCTCTCCCAGTTTGCTTTCACCGGGCAACAGAACAAACATCATTTTTAAACGTTTCCCTTCCTTCACTTAAACAATCAATCCAATTAATGACAAAACTTATGGCAAGTCTTTTGTCTTCATAAACCGTGTACAAATTATTATAAACTTCTACAAAGGAATTTCTAAGATATACGTGTAACTTTACAGCCGTTCGTTGCTTGAATATGACCGAGTCAACCATTATTTGTCGCAAGTGATCTACATATTGACGTCATTTTCACATTGTGACGTCAAAAACACGGAGCAAAACATTCCATTACATATGCTACATAGAACATGTGTATGACTCCATGTGTGCCAAATTTCATTCTGATCTGAATTGCAGTTTTGTAAATTATATAGAGATAGTTCGCGAACTTTTTGATCACCTCTCGTACGTACGAACAAATATCAGAGACAAGTCGAGCTGCTGGCAGTTAAGTTGGTGAAACAGGGATTCCCAAAGTTTTGTTTAAAGTTCACATTTCGCAAACATTTCTGTGGTCGATATAATGACCTTATCAGCAAATACACACAATCAACATAAGTTAGGCCATTATTTACGCACTGAATTGTCTACGGATTTTTTTTTCAATTAGGCCTAACTGATCGTAACAAGGAGCACACTCCAAGTGACCGATCGACAGGAGATACTTATGCCCTGTTCACACAGAGAGTTTAATTCGAATTAAACGTAAAGTTACTGCGAATTAGCTTCGCTTAGCGTTCACACGGAGAATTTAATGCGAATTACAGCGTCGTGCCATAAGTATTCGCGAAAAATGGCGGACGTGATTTGAGAGTTATCGCGCTTGCAACATAAAAGTCACTCAAATACAACAAAAACAAAACAAACGCTTACCTTTAGTACTTTGTTAAATGTCCCTTGGATCGTATACATGCCATGATGCGTTTTGGGATGGATTTGTAAAGGTTTTGAATATATTCTATGGTGAAATTCTGCCAAGTGTGTAAAATAATATCGAACAGCTGATCAGGGGTGGTAATATCTCCGGCGTGATTTTGGATCTGTCTTTTAATTGTATGCCAACAATTTTCAATGATATTAATGTCCGGACTCTGGGCCGGCCACACCATACCCCGAATATTATTTGCACGTTTATATTCCTCTACAACACGAGCTCTATGTACCGGCGCATTGTCGTCTTGAAAAACGTAGTTGTTTGCAGGGAAATGTCGGGCAATAACAGGCCACAGGTGGTTGTCAATGATATTTATATATTTATCGGCATTAATGTTACCTTGTACCTTGCATAAAGTCCCTGGACAATACCAGCTGATGCATCCTTTTTGGAAACTTTTGGTTTTGAAATCGCAATCATGCACTCCGGACGGTACGATTCCTGGGCGGATCTCCAGACATACACGGAGAATTTAATGCGAATTAGTTTAATTCGAATTAGTTTACTGCGCATTAAATTATTTGCATTAGCTCCGTGTGAACGCTAAGCGAAGCTAATTCGAATTAAATTTTGAGGCATGCGTAATGGCAAAATTAGGTCAAATGCCACATGTCCGTGGTCAGCTTGAAGTATTTGTGCTATTTTTGAGTGAAAACTAAGGAAAATTGTGTTAATCGCTGAAATGTGTACAGACACTGTAACATTAGGCCTATGTCAAATGCATCTGCTCCTGCATAAGGTGACGTGATTTGCAAATGACGTCATAATAGCCTTACTGACGCCTGGCCGTAGAAGTAGAATTTTGATTCGCATTAGTTTGATTCGCATTAGTTTACTTTGCATTAATTTACTGCGAATTAAACTCGTCGTGTGAACAGGGCATTACTCTTCTATTACACTTGAACCTACCTCTGGTGTTTTTAGATTTGCTTTGCTCCTGATTTGTATTGTTTCAAAGGTTGAAGAGTACTAAATTTTCATTATGATCATGTAAATATTTTATTCGCAAGATAGTTTGGAAGATAAACTTTTCAAAGGTGTAATCTATTTTCAAAAAATTATTGATTTATCCTTATTCACGGGCCTAAATCTGGACCCAAGAAGCATCGATAAGAGACGTTCATCAAACACCTTTTCTGATACAAGTATAGTTAAAGAGTAAGGGAGATATTAAAATTGCAATTTCAATAGCTTTCATGGTGGAAATATCTTTCGACTATTGATAAATTTATAAGTATTTTATTCAGTAGATTTCACAGCATAATCAAGATCTAATGCTAAATCCCTCCGCTCCTTTTTTTTTATCAGAAGGCACCAAAAGAAATAAATGAACACATATTTAATTTTTCTTATGATATTTTTCATTATTGTATCAATAAATTAGAAAATAAACAACAATATATACAAAATATAATACACATAAAATTTTATAAATATAACACCGGGATTTAATGTACGTATATAGCATTTCTTGATTGGGATTTACAATGTTTTTACAACTTATTAACTAAAACAATAAATTAATACAAGAATGTACAAAATGGTCTGTGGAGAATTCGAATTACAATCTTATCCAACAATCTAATGTTCTGATCACAAATTTTTCGACGCACATATTTTTCGTGACACAAACTATCAAACATAGCAATTGTTCATTTAAAAAAATTAAATAATAGTCGGATTTTTTGCGACATAATTATTTAAACCAAAATTGAGAAACTTGGGCTATTTACTTGTCTTTATTCCTTATTATACTCTCGTTGATTGAAACTGCACATAAGTTTGTTTTTTGGTCGAGGTGTTGGCATGGCAACCATTTCCGGATTGGGTTCCGATAATGTCCAGTTACACTGCTGACATAATTTGATTATAAACAGTTTTAAAATTAGCTGTGCATATCCTTTTCCGGGACATCTCCGTGGTCCGCTAGCGAATGGAAAGAAGGATATCTTAGAACAATCGGCCTGCATCCATCGGTCAGGATTAAAGGTTAAAGGGTCTTCCAAATTATTGTCCAGTTCATGTGTGTCTCGAATTCCAAGAACCACAGTCCAACCTTCAGGAATAGTGTATCCCTGAAAAAAATATAGAATTTTGAATATATAATTTCGATTGTTATTATTTAAATAAAATTAATTTGAATGTGTTAGTTATTTAATCGATTAAAAACGAAATATAAGAATATTTAATAAAGTTGTTTTAGTATTTAAAAATAGATGTAAGGAAATAATATCTAGATTTTTTACTTAAAGTATATATTTTAAAAAAAAAGAAAAAAAAATCCATTCCCAGACGTACCTCGAGTTCAAAGGTCTGTAAGACTCTCCTGTAAGCCCCGCCCACCGCCGGAGTCACCCGAAGTATTTCTTTGTAAACACAATCCAAATATGGAAGTTTGCTGAAGATTTCTGCCGTAACCTCTACCTCGCTATTGTTATTTTCCTCGGGAGGAGCTAAAAGGTCAATGTTCGATAGTTCTTGTCGAAGCTTTTCAAGAACTTCTGGATGTTTGGATAAATGGATAAGTGCACACATGGCCGACGTACTCGTTGTCTCTCCAGCATTAAATATCAGTTCAAATATGCCATTTAACAAATCGTCATTGTCAAATTCTGAATTTTGAGATTTGCAAAATTTTTCCAGTACAGCTGGAAACTGTTGCGAACAGCTCTTTCCATCTTCCTTTATTCTCTTTAAGAACAAATTCTTTAGTTCCTCTTTTGCCTTGCACGCCTGAAATAAAAAAAAAACAATGCTTATTTTGTTTAAATATGGATCTACACACAATTAAGATTTCTCTAACATTATACAATGTATATCAATGTCCTTAATTATTTTCTTCAGTATCAACAAAGGTCATTAACCCCAAGTCAGTAACCGTGCATCTCCTCAACAGAGTTCAATCACTTAGCAAGAGTACGCCTATTTAAAATAAAAATACTACCAAGCTATGCGTGAGTAACAACATTTGTGACGTCATTTCATTCATAATTTTACAGACCAGGCAAAGATGAACTTAGATTCAACTCCTGCCCGCTTCAAGACCTCTTACACCTACGTCACTGAGAGCGACGGGAGGACGAAGGGGTGAATGACCAAAATTTGGCCCACTGACTGTAGGGTTAAAATACCTAGTTTGTTTATTTCCGCATACGTTCCTCAGTTAACTGGGTCAACCTTTGATTTGCCAATTTTTGATAATATAGAGAATTATGTAAAAGAGACAAAGACGACGAAAAATGAAAATAGAACAGAACAGAAATATTAATTTAAAAAAAATATTCACGCACTCTTAAAAATATAAATAATTGAAGATGAAGTTATAGTCTTACCTTATAAAAGCCAAATCCAGGTATATTAAGCGGCAAAGTGAAGAGGTTGTTAGTGATATCATGATAAAGTGTCTGTATCTTTCTTCTTTCATCTTTAGGCATATCCATACTGACTAAGAAAGTAGAAGCTAGCTCTAAAAACAGAGAATGGCAGTCAGCAAAAATCTCAATGGACGACTTGCGGCACCATTCATAAATACGTCCAGTCAAAAAGTCAGAGACCATGGGTAAATTTTGGTCAAAAAATCCCGGAGACAGACATTTTAGAAGTTGCATTTTTTTCTCTGCATGCACTTGGCCTGTGGATGAAGAGAGGGAATTTTTTCCAAGAATTTTCCACACGGAAGTTGGGTAAGCACATTGGAGAAGTTTGTTTTCGGCTGCAAACAATTTTTCCAGGTTTTTCTTTCCTGATATGCGAATTGTTGGTCTTCCAAACAAGTGCGTCTTGTATATATTGCCATGCTCTTTTCTTTTCCCCTCAAAGAATTTTGCCTGGAAAAAAGATACAAGAAAACTTGATTATAACAATTTTATTTATTGTTGTGAAAAAGCAATTCTATGATAATTACACTAAACAAATGTGGTTAGAATTATTGTTTTCAACAAATTTAATAAATAATAAATTATTGAAAATGTAATTTTACCTTTTTATGAAGGAATTGCAAAGACTCTCCTAAAATCGGAATGCCCATCCGTCCTGGAGGTAATTTCTGACCACACCCTTTGTACTGATTTAAATACTTGTATAAAAGCACGCAAATAGACAGAATCAGAAAAAATTCTAACATTTTTATTTAATTTATAAAATCTTTAAAAGTATTCTGAAACTAGGAGTTCTCTGTAAATATTGAAATTGCAGGTTTGAAGCAGGCGACTTTATAACATGTCGCAGATTACGAAGTCATGTCACGTGACTACGAAAGGCGAACGACCGAGACACGAAGTACGCGGCGCATTCTTTTTCTTATATCACAGAAAATTACTTTATCTACAAATCGATTGATCAGTGAGGTTAACAAAATATAGGGTAAGCGGCCATATATTCCCCTTACCTCTGATATACGTATCTTTAAAGGTTGCATGATATATCTTGAATATAGACTCTTTTGATCAGTAACACTTAATATTCAAAGGAAATATATATTTATTTTTTTTAAACCCATTTTTATTTTCATTGCTGCAATGAATTATAAAGGTGATTCTTTCACATTTAAGGAGAGCAATTCCTATAAATCATGCAAGGAAAAATTTCAAAATAAAGAATTTTGGATTTCTTTCCTTTTTTTTATATGAAAACAAACCTGTCCGATGGTCTTTATTATATAAACTTTGCACGTATTATAACAGTGATAAGAATAGGGAATTTCATTCAGTTTTAATGATGTACTTTTGAACATTAGAGGAGTGTCTTTCTATCACTTATATTTTGACAGTAAGTGTACATGCATATGTCAACTGTTTTCACCTGGCAGTTTAGTCGCTTTTTAAAATTAGGCTGTGGTAAAAAAGAAAAAAAAGTAAAAATTAATGTTGTCATTAATTTAACTGTGTGATTCATTTGTAATTGAAATTAATTTTTGGAAAAGAACCACATCCAGAGTGTTATTTTTCAACTTAAAAAGTACTATTTTATTAAACGATACAAGCAGTTTTTTTCTTCCAACCGACCTACCACCCTCTTCAAGAAGCTGAGGATAATTTGGTGAAAATATAACAGACAAGGAGAATATACGATCTTTTTAACGTTTATCCTTAAACAAGGATGATCGACTCCTGTGCAACAGCCTAAAATATTACGATGATATTACTAGAATTTATATAGACATTTTAAAGAGGTTTTCCTAAAAAATGAAGAAAATATAAAACGAGCCAGGAACAAGCAAAACAAGCCAGAAAATTGTACACAATTATGTACGTTTAGGGATATCCGCTCCAGCTAGAAAGGTTAACTCTTAAATTTATTCATATTTCAAAAAGTTTCAAAATGAATCTTAAAGTAAAAAAAAATTCATGCAAAAATTTTCATTTTATGAATCTCATCGTGTCTAATGAGACAATAAAATTCATGAAATCCCCATAGAAATGTTAAAAACCCACTTTGAAAGAAATCACATTTCCATATTAATTTAGCTTAAGATATATTGCTTTGAGAAATCAGAGACATTTTTTTTTAATTATTGACAGCCTAGTTTTCGGAAACTGAGAATCAGAACTACCTTAAATAAAAAAAAATTAACTTCATTTATACTATGAGTCGTAAAGGAAAACGTAAAGACGCGGTTGTTTAATTACTGTAATCAATTACCTAGGAAAACCCCGCCAGCATTATTTATTTATGAAAGGTTACAGAAATATAGGGATCACGGTCAACAATAAAGACCTGGTTCTTTGCCGAACATCAGAGGTCAGTGTGTAACTGGGTCGGGTCATTAAATCAATGGTATCGATTAATTTTCTCCATTTATATTCTGTATTGCTTATATGGTCGGCAGATATAGTCTAAAACTGGGTTAGGGTGTTTAAACCAATTTCAATTTACCTCTTTCGATTAAATATTTGTTTAATGCAAAAGAAGTGCAATAAATGGATCAGTGTACAGAAATGATCAAACTGCACATGCTAAGCTACCCATCAATCTAATTGAAAGTTTCATTTTCAAGTCAAGTGGTTCTTGAAAAGGTTTTTGAAGAATTTTCTTAAAAAAAATTCACTGTAAAACTTTTATGCCTTAAAGCAATCTTGAATTTACAATTCCATAGAAAGCTTCCACATACATTGAACGTTTCAATGTTTTGGGTGGTTCTTAAGATTTTAAGAAGATTTTTCTCATGTATTTTAGAGTAAAACCTAAATCCACTTTTGTTCATCATCCATACGTTAGGGACCATGATATAAATAATTGAGAATCTACACTTCCTCAGAGAGGTTCCGCACAAATTTAGCATCTTATGGTCAACCGTCAAGATTTAATATTTGTTACACTAACACTCCATCTGAAGGTCTCATCATTTCTCCAGAAGTTATGTTGGAACATTTAGAATCTCAGAAGGCTTCCACCAAAGTTTCACCTTTTCTGGACCAGTGGTTAATAAGAATATGATTGTAAAGAGGTTTCAATGCAAACCTCCTATATAATTTTTTTTATGCCCAATTAAGTTACACCCCCCCCCCCCGTGTCATGAATACATTTGAATCTACATACTACCTTAGAAAGCTCCCAACATTAGTTTCAACTTTTTGAATTTCTGGCCAGGTTTTTGTCGAGAAGATTTTTTTTCACGATGCCAGTTTCTTTTTGCCTCTTCTTGATTATCTCCTCTAGGAAGGAGGCTTGGTCCTCAAGTTTACAGGCAGACGGACTACGGTGGTCAGAAAACTTATTTGAGTTCAGATAATCTTTAAATTAAAAGATATCTGAAAGCATACCTTGGGCATAATTATTCCTGACCTTATGACTTTGACCTTCAATTTTGAAAAAAAAATGATCATGACAAAATATTTACAACCATTGATCCAATAGGGTTATCATATTTCAGTTGTTCTTTGTTCAGTTATTTCACGATTTATGACCTCGGACGATAACATTTGACTTCTTAAAAAATGGACCATGGTTATGACTTTAATATAACAGCTTGTTCTATGACTTTGTGTGTTATGTATGACCAGGCATTCCTTAAGGTGCCAAAATTTTTTACCTTTTAATATAAATCTACTTTTGTAAACTTTAATCTTGGTTGAACGCTTACCATTGTTGGTGCTAAGTATTTCATGGTTCACATGTATATTCTTTATGACAAGAACTTTCTCGAGCAGTTCTGCCTTGACCTTGTTCTTGTGAAAAATTATGAATATTTAGTGCCAGTTATTTCATATTTCATGCATGCATATTTTTTGTGACAAGAAATTCTTTTGGCACCATTATTTTTGATTCATTGACTTTGATCTTGTCGTTTGTACTGGATTTGAGAAAGTTTTTAACTTTGGCATTGAACTGTCACACAAGGACATCAGTGTTTTCCCAAAACATCTGTTTTTCATAAGGAGGAAACGCCTTTCAATAAATTGTACATAAACTTTTTGAATAAAAAAAATGGACTCATTTCCTTTAAACAAAATGAAAAGCAGTTATTAAACGCTCATTAAATCAATCAAATGTCCTACCATCACAAAGAATTTTTGGTTGCTGTTGCATTGATTTAATTAAAACGTAATATTTAGAAACACTATAAGCCAAACTTGAGTATAAATTTATTCTTACGTAAAGTTAAAAAAACCTTTTGAATTAGTGACATGTCAATTGAATACACGAAAGGTGATTATTTAAAACATATGTTTTCATTCTTATTTGACACAATTAAATCATTAGGAGTTTTAAGTTCATTTCGTTTTCTCGGTTTATTACGATGACGTCTCTTTATGTTGCATGGAGAATGCGAATAATTTTTTAAGGGAAACTATGCAGGGAAAGCAAATATGCAGCATTTCATTTCCTACGTATTAAAAAGATGTTTTCCCTATTAACGAAAACTTTAATCTTGGGCTATATATAAAAGACACTCGATTCCAATATAACTATTCACAAATAACTACTTGACTGTAATCACGTGAAATATGAAAGCCATAGCTCCAAACAATCAAAAGTTATGGGCAATATTAAAGTTTTTTTTTTGGAAAAACAAACGAACAGGTCAATAACTAGATTTACACGTATCTTCTATTGAGGGACCATAATTGTATCTTTCTATAAGCTAGCCAATGAAACTTTTAGAATTCAAATAGATTGTTCATGAGAAAAACTATATTATTTCTATTTAACAAAGTTAACACTTGTCCATTGGACATATTTATTCCTAGCAGGTAATCCTTCATACATTTTTACTTGTATTTTTTATTTATTTTTTTTAAGTGGTTGTGATAAAAGTCCAAATTTATTTTTTGCACCTAATGTTCTGTACCTTTTGACACTTTACATGTCAGTTGTTAGTTGCACCTTTAGTTTTACATTAACTTAATTTCATTTGAATACATTATCATGTTAAAGAAATGTAAATTCACGACTAGAATCTCAATAGCGGTCACTCAGGGTTTGATAAATTTTCCCGAAGAAAAACTCCTGGCCTCCATGCTTTTTGATCCAGTAATGGATTACCGCACTGTAAAAAGCAAACATAGAAAATATGTTGTTTTTATGACATAATCTTGAGCTCGAGGGACATAAAACTACTTACAATCGATTACTCAATCAATCAAGATGCTCACCCATGTAAATTCCATGCATTTATAAAATGACATTAAGAAATGTTGAAGTTGCAGAATTTACATTATCGTGACTTTCCTTTTTCTTTATTGCCGCTATCTGCCCAAAAGAAACCAATGCAATAAGTCCAGAACATTATTTTGTTAGATAATAAGAGTGCTCGTTTCTTTTTCTATTGCTAGAGTGCAAAAAGTCTCAATCTGTTTATCACAATTAAGATTACTAGTATAGGAAATACATATGGTTAAGTTTATTTTGCAATGGTCCTTTTGTTTTTCAAATAAGTAATTCTATCAACGCATAGAGTACTTTATATGGAAGTATCTTGCTTTTATTTTTATTCTGCCTACTTCTTTATGCTTTGTTATTATTGTAATTATATGTCACTTTATTGTTTTCATATTCGTCTTTATTACATTTCACTTTGACTTTTATCCTTCTTCATTTTGTCCTTACTTCTATGTTGCTTTATTCTTGTAAATTCATTCTACTTTTTTTTAAACTTAAACAGTTTCTTAAATAAATTATTCAATCACGCAAACAATGAAGCATATTCAATGAAGACGAA